GGTATATAAATGCGTCATCAGTAGGGGTACCCGGAGCAGTCTCGAAATCAGATATTGAAAATATGTAACACCAACGTTCTAACTCTTCCTGGACCCATAATAAGAGCAAAAAATAATTCCGTTTATGTTATAATTTTTCAGCTGTCATTCAAATTCATTTTGTGCAAATTTGTTAGAATTTTGATCAGGAATATTAAGATCATTAAAAAATTAAGCGCGGTAGAGAAATCAGCTAAGAATGAAAAAAATGGATTTTGACGTCAAGGGCGGAGCAGCGAACATACTGTAAAAGTACTTTTTTCCGCGTGGTATTAATTTACGCTATGTACGCGGCCACAAATTTTCCACGGAAATTTGTCCAAGCGTACTTAATATAAATATAAGGCATAAAGTGACAGTCTAAGAAATCCGCGTAATTTTCTACCCGCGGATTAAACGGAAATTGAGATTCCGCGGAATTATGACCTCGCGGAAAAAAGTACTTCTACAGTACCTAAAATTTTATGTAGCGCAATGTAGATCTCTTTTGCAGGCTCAACGACCCGCTCAAACAACAACAACGAGAAAAAAATGTGTTAGGGTTTACTATTTCATTGGTATACATTTTCTCAAAAATTCAACCAGAGTAAAATCAAAAGCACCGGACGACCATCAGTTACTACGTACGATATTAACGTCGTTACGGTATTTATATCGTTGACCTGCATTGCACAAATCAGCACTGCATGATTTTAAGTCATCCTTTTCCACAAATGAAAATTTCCAATCAGGTAGCAACAGCATACATTTTTAAGGAAGTTTAAGAAAAGAGACTGTTTGATTTTTGTACTGTTAAATGTAATTACAAAGAGGAAAAAGTATACATGCTTCCCGATCGTTTTACATGCGAAACCATCTCCGGCTGACGTGACGTTAAATGACGTAGTGATGCTGCTCCGGGTCGATAGACATATGCATGTTTATCATTTCACCGAAACTTTTCTTATTATCATAGGAATAAGAAATTTTGCACAAGTGTTTTATTCTTTCTTTATAAAATGTTGATGAATTTTCATGAAAGTATCTCCGTCCTTTATGCAGTAAATGAAATTGTCTCAATAATTTCCGAACAGCCCTCGTATATCATATGATATGTTTTATTTGTCAGTAAGGTCATTATAACGCCCTAACAGTGACAACGTGCTGGCTTTAACGGTGTTATTTCAAATTTTCCTTGTGACGAGACCTTTTTATGGGTACCAACATATTTTACCTCTTGTCTTTGTCCTTTGACTTTGACCAGCATTTGCGAAATTTTGCCAAAACTTTTACCTTCAAGTTGATGATAACTTTAGAAGGCTTGGTACTGATGTTTTCATTAATCACATGGGTACATTTAAACATGATACGATCTTTTTACAGATGCAATCATTATTGATTCATAATTTGACCTGAATAAGCCTGGTGTTGGATATACATGTACTTTTGAAAAATGTGAGTTAAACCATTGCCAAAACTTTTACACGGTTGAGTATACGGGGCATCAGTGTTTCACAAACACATCCTGTTTCTAAAACAATTATACTCAAAGGGTGGATCTACCATACTTTTATTTCCTTAATTTCTTGCATTACATACAAGGGCCAATGAAAACAAAATCAATATTATAAAGAATATACATGTAGGTTTAATTTACGTTTCAATTTACTTGATCAAATTAATGTTTAGGGGGAGCTGATTGCATAACGCGTTCTGTGCAAAAGCAATTCTATGAAACGCCGGGACTGTTTTATATGAGGATTAAACATTATATGTAGTGTTTCCTTCATTATATGCGGTACTGTTTTAATTATATGAAGTAGTTTTTACATTATATCGTGTACAACTTCCATCATATGCAGTACTTCTCTCATTATATGATGTAGATATGTTATTACATTATGTACACCTATCATTATATGGAGTGTTTTAAACATTATATGCGGTAGTTCTAACATTATATGCCTTTATTCTTTAAGCCAAAGGCTCATCAGATTTAAATTCATACAGCATACAAACATGATAAAGTGTACAGAATAAATATCAATATTATATACAAAAGTACACAAAGGATATAAATATCAATAGTAGTTACAAATAAGACTTTCGTAGAGCTGTAGCTTTATATAAAAATATTCCTAAATTATAGACAACTCTTTTACATTTTGACTATTCATTAAACTTACAACTCTAAATACACGTCGTTTGACATAATAATACTTCTTAATGTACATACTTCTCAGATTTTCATAAAATGAACATTTTAATATGAAATGAAATTCATCTTCAATATATCATTAGAGGAGCATAGTGTGTAAATTCTTTGAGCTCTAAGTGTATTATTATATTTACCAGTTTGATTTTTTAACTGGTGGTTTGATAATCTGATCTTGGTGAGCATTCTCTTATATATATCATCAATAGGTTTTGTTGAATATCTTTGTAATACAAAATTATTTACAACGTATTGATACAATTGTCCTTTTGAAGATGACGTTACACACGAAAAAAAATATTTTGTCTCTAAATATCAACCATCCTTTGCTCAATTATTTTATATGTACAAATGTTAACAATGTTGGCGTCACATAAATAGCTCAAACCAATCTTTAATACACATAATCCCATTATCGTCCCGTAAAACCATATCTTCATAGCAGGCCCTAAGAATACAATTGTGCAGTAAACACAACAATAATATCCTGACACGCAAAAAAACGCAACAAGCAGTAATCTACAAATGTTTGAATTTTTTTATCTTATGATCTTCAAAAATGAATACAATAAGGCTAACCTCACTTTTCAGAACATCAGAGATTTGATAAAAATGTTAAATGCTTATCTTTTTACTTTACTAAGTAACACATGACTGTTATTTAAAACACCCCCTCCCAGCCATTCAAGTAAAACGTGCAAGACTGCCCTAAACAACAATTGCAGCTTAATTTCTACGATACAATAGGTTCATCAATATCGAGATCAGAGCGAAGGAATTATTCTTTGCCATTTTTAAATTAGGTCGAATTTTCCCTAACTTAGAGCAGTGTAGCCACCCCTGGACTTCCGGTACAAGGACTGTCCTTAATGAATATAATACGTAAGACCCTTTAATTTTGAGGCGTATTGTTGTGAATTTTTGCATCACCAACTCTCCATCGCCTTTACATTGAAATTTTCCAGCTAGAGCAATGGAAATGCGTACTTAAGTCAAGAAGCCTTAGCATCGTTACGGGAATCGAAAGGAGAGTTTATTTTTTTTGAAATATTGCTGCATTACTTATGGTGAACAGTTAAAACCCTTAAAACTCCATAATATTGCCAAATGTTTTGTTAAGCATGCAATTTTTGATTTTTGTTAAGCAGACTCAACTTGACTTCCGGTTATGGTATGAAAATCGTTCAACAATCGTTAAATTACCGATGTTTACCAAAGTGAAGATATCCATAATTTTAAGATCCAAATTTTTTCACTTTACATAATTATTTCCCCCTAAAGTAGGATGTTGCGTTTCTTTTGCGTGTCAGTATATTATGTACGGAAGCCCATTTAGGACCTATCAAAAAATATTTTTGAATTCGTTATAACGATTTTTTAGAATTCGTTATAACGAATTAAATTTGTTATAACAGATTTATTAAATTCGTAATAACGAATTTAATTTGTTATAACAGATTCATTGAATTCGTTATAACGAATTTAATTTGTTATAACAGATTCATTGAATTCGTTATAACGAATTTAATCTGTTAATACAGATTTGTTGAATTCGTTATAACGAATTTAATCTGTTATTACAGATTTGTTAAATTCGTTATAACCAAATTCCTTGAATTGGTTATAACGAATTCAATAAATCTCTGTAATAACAAATTAAATTCGTTATAACGAATTCTAAAAGGCTGTAATAACAAATTAAATTCGTTATAACGAAATCTAAAAGGCTATAAAAACAAATTAAATTCGTTATAACGAATTCTAAAAATCTGTTATAACAATTTAAATTCGTTATAACGAATTCTAAAAATCTGTTATAACAAATTAAATTCGTTATAACGAATTCTAAAAATCGTTATAACGAATTCAAAAATATTTTTGAGAGGTCCTAAATGGGCTTCCGTAATTATGTACTTCTCACATTATATAAAGTATATTGATCCTTATGTGTAGTATTTCTGTTGTTATGATGATGCTGATAATATTATGTCCGGTCCAGTTAGCATTCCGTGTGGTATATTGTCCAAGCCCAAAAATCCTATTTCGGGGAGGGGGGACCAACTTCGATCAGTCCTAATTTTTTCAGATATACTACTCTATCCTCAGTGGACTATACTTCAACAAAAAGTAGGGGCGGGGGCTGTACTTTCAATGAACATTACATTTTCTATAGTAAAGTTATGTCTGGGGGTTGATATTATGTGCCTGTAATTCGTCCTCATCAATCAGGACCCCCCCTCTCTTACCAGTCATTAAAACACGTTCGTCAACATTCATTATATACTAGATATACGGCTGTGCGATATTGTAAATGTATTTTTACATCAGGTAATGAACTTTTGGAATCGACATGATAAAGAGTTAACACAATATATTATATAACTTTGTGAAATCCGGTAATCTGATTGGTCAATACGAAGTACTTATTTTTTAATAACGACCGCTGAAAGCGAATAATGACTCGCACGAGCTGCCTCGTTTTCACTTTCGCTTTAGACAAACATGGAAGTTCGCAAGTTGTAGGTGAGGAAAATTTAAAACATATAGTGAAGAACTCTGAGACTGATAATACAAAACAATTACTAGTATATTTGTGAATGTTTTTCGGGAATAATTAACACATAACATTTCATGGTTGAGTTCGACCTTTCCACTCAGCCATCAGAGTTTTGACGCTGTTTTCGCGATTACGGAGACTGAAGAAAATATAGACAAGCATATCATGTAAGATTGTATCTATTCTTTGAAGACATAGGTATTTACAGTATATATTTTGTCAGTGCATTTCGTCTGCAAGTGTAAACGAGAGCGATTCTCTATCTGGGGGAGGGGTTACTCTGTGTTATTCGGAGATAGATATCTTGCGTCATTATCATGATATGGGAAATTTATTGCCAAAACAATTTCCTCTGAGTAATATTCAATGAATTCTGAAACATTTACATTCAACTTATTTATGGTTAATACTATCTCTGTAAATAATAGGATAAAATACATTGCAGTAATAACTTTGGGAAAGTATCATTTATATAATATAATAAATATGGACTCAATGCACGGACAATATGCATTTATAATGACCCAGGATGACAGATATTGACCTCAGATACATGAAGTATATCGACCTCGGGCTAACGCCCTCGGTCGGTATACTACATGTATCTTCGGTCAATATCTGTCATCCTGGGTCATTATAAATACATATTGACCTGCAATGAGTCCATATTTGTATAATAAAGATATTTTTAAATCACATAAGAAAGAGTTGAAATAACGTAATTATATATCCACATCACGGAATGGAGTTTTGACATAATGTAATAAAGTATTGATATAATATAAAGATATGTTCACATAATGTTATACACTTTTTAGACCACGTAATAAAGCACTGACATAAAGGTAAGATGTGTTCGACTAACATCATGATGCTCTCGCCGTAAAATAAAGATAAAGCCATATCAGGTAAGAATGTTTTGATATAACAGAAATATACACTCTCCAAAAAAAAAGAATGGATTTTTGACTTCATGTAATGATAAGTTAAATTATAAACTGCAATTTACTTGACGTAATGCAATTTTGACCTCATATATTAAAGAAATGAAATTATGTAAAGAAACATCCATTTCACGTAATAAAGTTTTAAAACAATGTAAACACATAATGAATTTTTTACTTCAAGTTATGAAGTGCTGAAAAAATGAAAGGATTTACTTTATGTAATGCAGCATTGACATGATGTTAAGATATATTTACATTATCTTATAAAGAAATGACATAAGGTAAATATATGTTCACATCACGTAATGATAAATTGAAATAATAATGCCTAGTTGTATGCTATAAGGCAGTGATGACGTTTCATTATCAAGGTATCATATATGGTATATATCATTTCGATAAAAAAAATGCTTTCAATTGATTTGCTCTCCTCACTATCGCTCTATCCACACTCTCATTCCCCACTCTTACTCTCCCCTCTCTCACTCCCATTTTACTCCCCACTGTCACTCCCCTCTCTCCCCCTCTCTCTCTCCCCACTCCCTCTCTCTCCCCTCTCTCTCTCCACACCCTCTCTGCTCTCTCCCCACTCTCTCTCCCCACTCTCACTCCCTCTCTCTCTCTCCCCTCTCTCACTCCCTCTCCAGCCTCACTTCCCCATTCCCTCTCTCCTCCTCTCTGCCACTCTACCCTCACTGTCACTACCCCTCTCTCTATCCCCACTCTTGTTCTATCTTTCCCCACTCTGTCTGGGGAGAGTGGGAAAGATAGAATAAGATTGGGGAGAGAGAGTGGGAGTGGGGAGAGAGAGAATCTACTCTCACCCCGCACTCTCTCTCTCTACTCTTGCCACCTCTCTCTCAAAGACAGCGAGAGAGATAGTAGGAGTCTAATTGTGATTAGGTGAGAAAAAGGAGAGTAGGCAGAAGGACTTTAGATAGAATGGGAGGTAGTAATCGCCCACTCTCACCCTCTTTTCTCTCCCTCACTATATCTCTCCGTCTCACTCCTCCTCCCCTCCCATTGTGTCTTTCTCTCTGTCTCCCCACATTCTCACTCTCTCTTTCTTTTTTTTTTTTTTTTTGGTTTTGTCTTTCTGCCTCAGTTACTTCTAACTGGTTTGAAATAAACTATTTATATGCATTATACATCGATTTTTCATAATTGTTTACAATTAAAAATAATGGAAATAATTCTTTTTCCATAATAAAGAGAACATTCTTTCGTTGTTGTAAAATAAATTATAAAATTTCTATTCTTGATCTTTTTATTTTAAGTAAATTTATCAGAATTGACTATTTGTGCCAAAAACATTATGTCATTTAATTTTACAAGGGCGATAACTTAAGACAAAAATTTACAGAGACGGTCTACCAAAATATTCTTCATGTTACTTCATATGCATTTCGGGATTTACATTCACTATCTTTATCCCTTGTTTGCAATCAGTTTATTTGAATTCTATATTTTAAATATTTCTTTTCTGCTCATACTACATTGTGAGGTTGCGTTGTTACTAGCCAAAATGCACTTGCATCTTGACTCCCTCGTTGTTCTACGCTGAAACCAGTATTTTATATTCTTTGAATTGAATTGTTCGTTTGGTATTTTATTCAAATATGTACTGTTTGTAAAACTACAAATAATCTTTATTTGTTACATGGTTCTACTCTTCTAAGCATAGGTTTTAACTTTACAGGTTTTGAGAGGTCCGTTAGGCCTTCAGTGTATGAGTGAATGCTCACCTATAATTACGGGTTCTGACCATGCATGCCTCTGGGAAAATACAAATCATTCAATGTAGCAGTAGAAACATACATTAAAAAAAGGAATTCGACAAAATTCCTTAAAAAACATGGCCATAGGAATCGGGAGGGGACGGGGTCCAGGGGAGGGGCGGGACCCTCCCCAATAATTTATGTATAGAATACTATTGAAAACTAAGCTACATTATGTCTGTGTCCCCTCAATAAATACGTTTAATAACCTTTTTTTTTTTTGCTTGTCAAGGAATTTTTCGTAGTTAATAGTACCCTAACTGAAAACCCCCTCCTTCCCCCCAAACTGAAATTGCTTCTTACGGCCCTAAAAAAGAATTTTATAAGATAGCGCGACGAAATTCAAGTCTGATGCAGGAAATATGCTGTTTTAAATTACTTTGACAAGGTTTTGTTAAATAGGGTTGCATTTTACAGAAATCAGATTGGACAATGTGCTTATGTAAAAAACATTTTGTCGAATTATCCATAAATGCATTGCACTCTAGGAAGTGTATATCTGGGATTCCGTTTTTATATATATATGCACGAAATGAGCAAAGTTTAATACTTGTTGATTCATCCAAAATTCTCCCGGACCTAACCTAAATAATTCAAGTTTTACGTCACGCACCCAGTTTATACTTGTAATTGTTCCCGACCGATTCTCATGTCGCGAGTATTCGTATGAAGATTTTGAAATGCAGTTTTTTTGTTTTTTTTTTTAATGATTTTAAGTTTTCTTTGTACATGTATAATAAGTGGATATCGCCCCAGTTCTCTATAAATCATATAAGTGCATGCATTTATATGACCTTAACACCGAGGGTGATTTTACAAAAGGACAAATGCAGTCTTTCATTTTCTGGAGATTTATGAAAACCCCAGATTTCACTACCATACGATAAAACGCCGCCAACATATGTATCAAAGAGCTGACAGCGGTGTTACAACGCAAAATGCAATAACACAAAATGTAATAACAAGAGTTTAGATTATTACATTTTTCGTTATTACATTTTGCGTTGAGATCAGCACAAAATGTAATACTGTGCTTTTTATGGTTGTCACATTTTGCGTTATTTTATTTTATTTTACAACGCAAAATGTAATAACACAATATCTCATCAAACAAAATAAAAAAGTAATTTTTTTGATTGGGTTTAATACAAAATATAATGAAATTGATTTAAATATATACATGTACATGTAACCAACATGGGAAGCACGCTTTACAAAATACTTAGAACTAAAACAATGAGACCACCATTACGGCTTTTCCGGACAGAAATAAACATCTAAAAAATGAATCTTTTTTTTATACTCGCGACATGATGCAGAGAATCGGTCGGGAACAATTACAAGTATAAACTGGGTGCGTGAGGTAAAACTTGAATTATTTAGGTTGAGTTTGGGAGAATTTTGGATGAATTAACAAGTATTAAACTTTGCTCATTTCGTGCATATATAAAAAAAACAGGATCCTAGATATACACCTTCAAGAGTGCAATGCATTTATGGATAATTCGACAAAATGTTTTTTACATAAGCACATTGTCCAGTCTGATTTCTGTAAAATGCAATCCTGTTTAACAAAACCTTTTCAAAGTAATTTAAAAAAATGTAGCTTAGTTTTCTATTAAAGTATTCTATACATCGGGAAAATTATTGAGGAGGGTCCCGCCCTTCCCCCGGACACCGTCCCCTCCGATTCCTACGGCCATGTTTTTTTTTTCAAGGAATTTTGTCGAATTTCCTTTTTTAATGTATTATTCTACTGCTACACTGAATGATTTGTATTTTCCCAGAGGCATGCATGGCCAGAAACCGTAATTATAGGTGATCATTTACTCATACGCTGAAGGGCTAACAGTTAACCTCTCAAAAGCTGTAAAGTTAAAATCTATGGTTAGAAGAGTAGAACCATGTAACAGATAAAAATTATTTGTAGTTTTACAAACAGTACACATTTGAATAAAATACCAAACGAACAATTCAATTCAAAGCAAAAATATAAAATACTGGTCTCAGCGTAGAACAACGAGGGAGTCAAGATGCAAGTGCATTTGGCTAGTAACAACGCAACATCACAATGTCTGCATGAGCAGAAAAAACATATTTAAAATATAGAATTCAAATAAACTGATTGCAAACAAGGGATAAAGATGGTGAATGTAAATCCCGAAATATATATAAAATGAAATGAAGAATATTTTCTTCTCTATAAATTCTTGTCTTAAGTTATCGCCCTTGTAAAATTAAATGACATAATTTTTTTCGCACAAATGGTCAATTCTGATAAGTTTACTTAAAATAAAAAGATCAAGAATAGACATTTTATAATTTATTTTACAGCAACGAAAGAATGTTCTCTTGATTTTGGAAAAAGAATTATTTCTATTATTTTTAATTGTAAACAATTATGAAAAATCGATGTATAATGCAAATAAATAGTTTATTTCAGGAATTTCATTTTAGAAGAAACTGAGTCAGAAAGACAAAAATCAAAAAAAGAAAGAGAGAGTGAGAATGTGGTAAGACAGAAAGGAAGACACAATGGGAGGGGAGGAGGAGTGAGACGGAGAGATAGTGAGGGAGAGAAAAGAGGGTGAGAGTGGGCGGCTACTAACCTCCCATTCTATCTAAACAACTTCTGCCTACTCTCCTATTTCTCCCCTAATCACCATTAGCCTCCTACGATCTCTCTTGCTGTCTTTGAGAGAGAGAGAGAGGGTGAGAGTAGAGAGAGTGGAGGTGAGAGTAGATCCTCTCTCTCCATTCCCACAATCTCTCCCCAATCTTATTCTATCTTTTCCCATTCTCCCCAGACAGAGTGGGGGAAAGATGGAGTAAGAGTGGGGAAAGAGAGAGGGGGAGTGACAGTCAGGAGAGAGGGAGTGGGAAGAGAGGTGAGTGAGAGTGGGAGA